ATCCATGCGGACCGATCAGCCCTCATGGTAAGCCGAGGCCATGTTTCGCGATATTCTTTGCGCAGTTTGACTAGAACCGCTCGTCCGGACACTGTGTGACGACTTTCCTGTGGTAAAAATACATAGAGAGACAATGCAAAATAAAAGCAGAAGCAATAGTAGCAATATCACTATGGATTCATTCCTTCTTGGGATACAAAGCGATTATCCAAAAGCTATAGAATATTATTTACGGTGAGACACTTTAATATCCACGTCTAGAACACCGAACAGCTGAACACAACTTTGAATCAGACTCTTTGTGAAATGCAGTGAACTCCGGTCAACACCGCCAAGCGCACAGTGCATACAAAATAAGAGAGAATGCATGAGGTGGATGGGGAGAGACCCTGTTTTCAGGGTAGGTGAAGAGCATCATATTCAAAACAGAGTATGCAGTCTAAATGTACATACACACACCTTTTCAAGCATTCTGGTCTGATAAAAGATGGTAAAAGGAACACCAATGATGATGGACAGCTGCCATATTCTTCAGTGCCTTAAAGCTGCTAACTACGGAGTCCTTCACGTCTCAATCAAGAAAGGGGCAGACAACTACTCTTTCTAATCACTTCATGCACTCATTCATGTTCCAAATCTACATCATCTTTTGTGATGTGATTTTCTTCACTCTGGGGTAACTGTAAATGAAACAGGGTGCAGTGGACGATTGGCAGGCATGCGAAACACCGGTGAAACCTATTAATTTGAATTTGGTATGATAAAGAATTTTATAAAAAAGCCTACTGGATTATATTTCGATGTTTCTTATCTGCTCACTCAATTCTACGCACACCAGACTACGTAAATATCGATGACTCCAGTCGGTGTATGTCTTAGGCACGCAAACTCGTGATCTCACAACCTGAGTGCACAATGACACAGTATATGCAAAATTCCGACATCGAAGAAATAAAAAACAAGTTGAAGCCATACGTGATTCAGTATTGCGGGTGCAGTTAGAATCTTGGATATTCATGTGGTTACCTTCTCGACTGGGGTACCGTAGTTAGTAGCACAACTATCCAAATAGGAAAAGTAACTGACCACAGTCAACTCCTGACAAAATAGGACTAGTCAACACCCAGTTTTACAGCATCACTTTGGACATCGAAGGTGAAAAGCGCACAACAAATAAAACACCAAAAACGTTTCGTTCTGTCAGTTGTGCTTAGCTCATCCTCTATACCTTCGAACAGAAAAACAATGTCGTCAGTCTACTCGAAATAGCATAGCTTTTCTTCAGCTGCCTATTTCATGCCAACATTTCGGAATCTGCTAAGCTTGTTCTCCAATAATTTGTCTCCGATGAGCTTGATCAGGAATAGTGAGAAGGGGGCACGCTTGACGAACGCCGCAGCTGGTTTCGATCTACTTAGGCCTACGATAGACCATTCTGCTACAAGAAATATGCTATTACACTGACCTCAGTGGAGTAGCACACCTATAGGGCATTCCTTAGGCAGAGCAAGCCGAATAGGGTTCTAAGTACAACTGATATAATCGCATCATGTAGATCAAGGAACGCCGCGATCATTGATCAGTGATGTGTGTGGTGCAATGTAAGCACTCAAAGCAACGTCAAGCACTGAACAATAAAATTGAGAACTAGTCGGATTCTTACCCGCTGATCACCGATATGCGTTTCTTTTAAAAGCTTCAAGCGTTGAAGTATTACTGAAGCTAAAACTTTAGTGACTATCGCAATTAAACTTATTCGATGGGGTTCATAGCGTGAACTCATCTTAATAATATGAACGATCAGTGATTTATCTCAGGATAATCGGAGACGCTCGTAAGACCAGAAATGGTGCATAGAAATAGTAATAGCACCTACGAGGGAGTCGCCTCCAATCTATAAAGAATGAAGGAAGCCCGCCAAGTTCCGCGGGCTTTCCTCTCTTCAGCGCTTGAATATCATATCAAACAGTGCCCAATTTTTCGTATTATAATCTGCATGTCAGGTGGAACAGTGAGCGAGTAGATTGACAACCGCAAACTAAACGGACTTGACTGAGGTTGTACGCATGTGAATTGAAAAGCTTACCTTCGCAATCACAGGTAAATAATAGGCGAGAGAAAATTTGTACGCACGTCGACCGTGAGCACCGGTTCCGAGTCCTTCAAAGTGCAATACTTCATCTTCAATATCTACGCGGACATCCTGAGAGCAGAGAACAAGTTTCGTGAGGGGAACAGGGTAGGGAAAATAAATAAATAAAAATGAACGGAAACTGACCTGAGCATCACCTAGGCGAATAGATAGAAAAACATGTGTTTCGTTTTGTCCCCAGTGAACAAAGGGATGCGCGTCACTCTGCTCAGACATCAGCTGTAAAATAAAAAGAACAGAAATGACGCTCTACAGAATAAATGTGACAGATTGAGGAAAAAAAACCAAACGTTCCTTGTGCACAAAGAAGAAAGAGCACAGCATTGTGTTTCAAAAGTTTCAAAAAATCTGCAGTTTATACAGCTACACTTAAGACGTTATTGAACTATCCTGTACAAAAAGCTTTTGAAACAGAAGCATTCCCTATACGCGTAAAACTGACTGCATATCTGCCGTAATTTCATGTAACGCGTTAGATGCTAAATGTGACAAATTTGGCTGTCGTCCGACTTGTAATGGGAAGCAGAGATTGAATCAGGGAAACGGAAGTTGGTTGCATCGGTCAATCAACTTACTTCCGTGTAGAAAGAAAGTATCTTTGTTTCGAAAACCAAACGTTTGTGCTTTTGTGAGATATGGTATGCAAGGTATGCAAGAAAGATTAATGACGAAGCCTCATCCGTAGGATGCGGCCTTAGTTTTTGCAACTCAATGATTTAGTTAAGTCAGACTGACGAAACTGAACTTTACGGGACGGTCCGATAATCGAGTACTTAGACCCGTTCGGCAGAAAGCCAGTGGAGAAATGAAGCAGCAAAACTAAAAGCAAACTCCGGCTATAAAAAAACAACATAGCAATACACGGGTATCACGGTGACCCCTATTGGGAGCGAAAATTTTCGCACCTAAAATAAAACCTAAAACTTTTTCGAGCTTTGTGGTAGTTAGATAACCAGATGTCGGCTTGAATCCGCTCAACGTTGGTGAAAACATAAGTAATCGAAGCAAAAAATGGCGATCGGTTTCTGAAGATGTAGTCAAGTCCTTTAAGGCGCAAAACACGTACCAACCATGAAAACACCATCACTCAATTTTATAATATGAGCTTGCAGTTTACCAGAACATTTATTCCAAAACAAGCTGTTGTCTCCATATTCCAGAGCAAACAACTGGTCACCCGTGATTAAACCGAAGCCACTATATTTACAGGAAGGTAAAGCCGTTTCTAACATGAAATCCAATTGAAAGTGTGAAAAGGAGTGGAACCATGTCGAACTTCGCATTTTATGGTGAACCCCTGTGAAAAAGAGCTGGAAGCGCAAATTTCGGTAAATAAGTAAAACCCCGTAGATCAATGGGTAGTAGAATCAGTGTGCGATGACTCAGGTCAAGAAGGGTAGAAATGGACAATTCCGGAAGGGAACACACGAGTACCACAGATTCGGCACGTAGAAAGTAGTTTGAATGTTGTGTTGAGACCAGATTAATTGACTTAACAAGTGCTGAGTTTGATTTTATTCCTTTTATTAGAGACACGAAGACTAAACGAATTTCACCATGATTTTCATAATTGGATCAATCTCCTTGTTTGTGGATTGCTAACGTGGCTAATCGACAACCCCCGGGCACCCCGTTTACTTAGCCACACTCAACCAGGGAGTTTGGTCAGAGTCGAAACTAAGAATCGGATTGTAAATTACAATAAAATGAATAACACGCCTTCTTGACCCCGGAATTCATTTCTTCAACTAATCGTTGGGACGGTATTAACAGCACCAAAGTATCACTCATACGTGTGTTCGAATCCCTCACCACCGCATGACTTCCCCAAGTTGTGTGCTGTATGGTAGCTCTTTGATTGGCCGTTTCCCCCTTCTTGAAAATTGTATTATTGTGTATTCAATACAAACAATTAGGAATAAAAAATTATCAAACAATGATGTTCAATTTAAAAAAGCCTTCACTACACACAATACCCTTTTTTACCCGTTTGTCCCACCCCGAGCGGTTCCACTGACGTAGATTCATGTTGTAGATCGTCGCTATCCTCCTTGACATCTCTCTCGGAACCAACCGTTCCATTCCTCCGACCTCACTCTGCGTTCAAACTGGCTTCGTTCAAAATTAGAACTCTAATGCGTATAGAACAACAAGCAGGTTTGGTTCGTACGCTCGAAAGTCTAGAGATTGATGTCTGTTGCCTCTCGGAAACACGTATCCAGGATCCGAGCTCAGTGATCCGATTAACGTCTGCTTCCAATCCTAAAGAAG